TTTTTTTTTTTTTTTTTTTTTGACACGGGGTCTAGCGCTAAATCGCTTAGCTGCCCGATTGAGATCGGATTTGGGATCCTCCTGCCTCAGCCTCCCAGAGTGCTGGGATTACAGGCGCGTGCCACCACTCCCTGCTTAGCGGGTTTCTCACTTCTGCTCTGTGGACATTTTGAGTTGAATGGTGGTGGGGGTGGGGTGCCGGAGAGACCGTTGGGCTTCACATTATGGGTTAGAGCGTCCCTGGCCTCTACCTGGGAGCCGCTAGCAGCTCCCCACCCCCACCCTGCCGAAATGTCCCGCGGGAGTCAAAGTCACAACGACGCTGAAGAAGCTTCTCAAGAGAGGAAGGGACAGAGGAGGGTCACAGTTGCTGTAGAAGGGAAAGAGGAGAGAGGGTGATCAAGCGGGGAAAGAACTTCTCGACCCCTAACGGATCGAAGCAGTGGCCCCTGGGAACTGGCCTCGGGATCCCCTTGCTACTTTTCTTCATGAATGGCTTGATTCTGCTCCGTGAATGTTTCCTGCTTGCATGTTGTAGGCAAGGCACTTTCATGCAGTCCTTGCAAACAGCTGTTCCACAGTCTGCAACGCTGTTGTCAGGTAACACGGCATCACTCACTCGCCGTCGGTGCCCAGCCCTGTGCTGAGCCCTTTTCCTCTGTCCTCTCGTGGGGTCTCACAGCAGCCCCATGAGGTTGCTTCTTTTACCATTATTGTTTTTCCTCACGTACCAAAGAGCAGAACTGAGTCGGAGACCTCGAGCACCTAAGCCAGAAGGGCCCAGCGTGATACACTTGGTGGTGAGTGAGTGAATAAATGAGCGCCTCCTTGGGTGTCCCTGGGAGCCCTCGGGCACTGCGTGGAGTCTCACGTCGACTTGCAGAGCTCCCCTGCCTGTCTGGGAGCAGCCTGGGGTTGGGATGGGTGACCTGCAGCTGCAGTGAGGACCCTGGCATTGCAGACGAGATTACCCACTTTGCATACACCTCACTCACCTTCCTAAACCCCACCCCCACCCCAAAAGCCCTCTCTCCTCAGGAGCTAAGTGCTTCCTTGTTTTGTTCCAGGGCTGGAGAGCAGGAGACACTGAATGGAGATGCATCTTTGCAGACCACTTTTATTGTCATGTGAAGGAAGGTCCCCCATGGGGTGACAGCCACCAGAGGGCCTGGGGGAAACCACGGTGGTGAGCTCCCTGTGAGGCCAGGCTGCCCCAGCCCCGTCCGGTATTGGAAGTGGAGCTCTCTGCCCCTGGTCCTAGAAGACGGCCCTCACCTCCCTTCTCCAACTATTCCGGGGCCACCCAAGTGGGTTTACAGACTCTCCGCAGCTCTGAGACGCAGCTCCCTGTGGAAAGAGGAAGGAAAGTGGCCCCTAAGTAAAACCCCAGCTAACACCCCAGGAGCGGCCCCCCAACATCCCCCCAAAGAGCTTCCAGAACCCCAGAGGCTGGTCCTTTGCAGCCTCCGCTGACAGATGATGGGAGCCGGAGCCCCAGGGAGACTGAGCCATCCCACTGCCCTGTCCTCTTTGGAGCTAGGACTGAAAGCCCTCTCCTCCATCAGCAGAGCCTCTTCTGCCTCGACAGAGGAAAGAAGAGCTCTTGCGGGAGGAAATGAGATCCTCAGCAATGAGTTCCAGCTCTCCCCTTTGCACCCCAGCCTCTTCGCTCGCCCCCAGCCCTACTTCTCTGTCGCCCTTCTTCTCCATATGCAAAGATCGACACAGGCAGGCCAAAGCCCCCTCGAGGCTGCCCCACGAGACAAGTGCGTGCTTTCAGCTGCACTCCACAGGGCGGACACTGAGGCACAAGGGCCCGAGGGACGCCCCACGGCCCGCAGCTGTGGGAGCCGTGCATGAGATTCCCTCGTGGGCGAGTGCGCTCCAGAGCTTGCGCCGTCACACCGGTTACCTCCAGCACGGAAGGGGCAGCTACCTCTCCCCCAAACGGGCCATTTACATGCCATCCCTGATTTGCTACGATTTCCGGGACCATGATTTTATCTGTAACCAAGGCGAGGCCTGGACCCAAGGAAGACAAATCAGAACCCCTTCCGAGGCTGGGCCCCTTCCACCCAGTCTGACCCTGCGCCTGGTCTGCAGAATCCACCCAAGGACTGCTTCCTCCTACAGTCCTCGGTTATGCTTTTCTTCCTTCCTTTTCCCCAGCAAAGTCCCAGCCCTTTCCTACCCTGCTCAGCCAGCTTGTCTCTCTCCTCTACGTATCTGTTCATTGCTCTTTTAGTCAACAGATATGCACTGAAAGCCTCTATTCCAGGGGCTGAGCTAGGCAGTGGGGAGGACACAACAGTCAATGAATGGTTCCACTGCCTGCCTTGCAAGCCAAGGATCCGAATTCAATCCCAGGTACCAAAAAAAGAAGCAGGAGGAGGAGGAGGAGGAGGAGCAGAAGGAGGAGGAGGTAAACCAATCTCTCTGCTCTCACAGAACTGATATCTTATTAACGAAGTCAGAAAAGATGAGCCAGGCATCGTGACACGTGTCTGTGATCCCAGCACTCTGGGAGGCTGAGGCAGGAGGATCACAAATTGGAGCTCAGCCTGGCCAACTTAGCAACTTGGCAGGACCCTGTCTCAAAATAATAATAAAGGGCTGGAGATGTAGCTCACTCCAGAGGAGTTGCATTCAATCCCGAGTACTGGGGGGGGGGTTGAAAAATCATGCACCTTAACATACAAATAAGATAGTAGTAGATATTGATAAAGGACAAAAGCAGGCAGAGGAAGGGAGAAAGAGACTACAGAGCAACAGAAAGAGGGTGCTTTCAGAGGAATGGAAGCTGAAACCTCGGTGACTAAAGGGAGTCAGTTTGGTAAGGATGGAGGGCAGAGGGTGAGGAAAACTAGCCCCACGCTGGTTCAGCAGGGGTGAAGGTGGCCCGGGGGGTGATGGGAAGGGGCCGGCAGGAGAGGAGGGAGGGAGCCAATCCGGAAGAGTTCTGGCTGGAGTGAGGCTTACGATTCCATTCTAAGTGCAGCGGGGAGTTGTTAGAGGGTTAAAGGCAGAATGCCAGGACCTGATTTATGATTTTAAAATACAACTGTAGTTATCGCGTGGAGAAGAGATTGAAGTGGGGGACAAGAATGGAAGAGGCAGGGACTCCAGTCAGGAGGCTACTGCTCTACCACGGATGGGCTGGGGCGCTGAGGCAGAGGACGTTTGGGATGTGTCTCCAAGGCAGAGCTCGCTGCACTCGCTAGTGGATTGGACTGGAGGCAGGAGAGAAGGGGGATCCAAGATGACTCCTAGGGGTGGCTCTAAGATAGCGTCACACTGAGCCAGTCCCATTCTGTGAAACAGCCACCCAAACCCCGTGAAGGGAGGGTCCTTGTCATCATCGCTGTGTCTTGCTCTCGGAGTGAGCACGAAAGTCAGCTTCCAAGAACAGACCCCAGGCCAGGGTGGTCCAGGAAATAAAAAGGATGATTTTTAAATAGCTTATAATAATTGGTAATTTCCAGTGTGACCGTGAATGCGGCCTCCAGAAAAACATGAGGCACTAGAGCAAGCACAGGTGCTGAAGCCAGGGGGATCTGGGTTAGGCTCACAGGCCTTCAGTGGGTAACTGGGAGCAGCAACAAACACCACTGGCCTCAGTTTCCTCATCTAGGAAATGGCGTTGTGGTAAATATCTACCACTTTTTAGAGTTTCAGTGCCGATCAAGGAGTCAAATGTTATTGGGGGAAAATTGACTTTATTGTTTTCTTTTCTTTTACCACTTCAGGCTAATGCATTCTGAGAGGCTGAAAAGTATGTGGCATGAAGGGAAGATCACTTTGGTCTTAATTAAAGATTTCAGGGTGTCTGAGTAGGAAGATAACAGGCAGAGTTTGTTCCAGCCCAAGGATACAGCCCTTTATCGCAATCTCTCTGGGTGGAGAGTTGGGCCCTTCTGTCTCTGTGGATGGGTGGGGGTCCAGAGAACCCTGCTGAGTCACAGTGCTGTGGGGACTTCTCCGCAAAGGACGCGGTGACACTGAGAAGACCAGATGAAGAGATGCTTCCAGGAGTCGGGGGATCTCCTCAAGGTGCTGAGTCCCCAGAGTGAGTGAGTGGTTTCTCCTTCTCCCCTGCATGAACTTTCTTAACAAGTACAGCATGCAAATTCAAGCAGAGGGATGGATGCTCGTAGTACACCATGCCAGGCACCTCCACGATTACACCCAGAGCGTGTAGAGAGTGAAGCACCAGGCTAACCCTTTCTGTGCCCAAACACTCCATACAAATCGCTTCCCCCTTAATAATCTAGAAGACTGCTGTCCTCAGAGATCTCTTTCTGCCTCACGGGGTTGACACAACTTGGTATCCATGCCTTTGACCCTCACCAGCCCTCTCTTCTCCTAGATGACAGAGTAGGCTGTCATCAGTTGCCTTCGTGTAGAGTCACCAAGCCTCTCCAGCTCTTATAGATTTTTCTCTCGAAGGTGTTAAAGTGCCAGGGATTTCACTGCCCAAAACAAAAAAAATTCAAAGCTAAATCCCGGCCTTCTTCATCAGAACAAACCACAGGGCAAATTAACAGCATTCGTTATGGTTAATTCTACCATTCTTAAACACGAACCCCTACTTCTTTAGGGGTGAAAATAGCTACACGTGTCTATCACAGGGTACAGTTAAAATAAACCTTTTTGCACCATTTGAGAAAGGAGAAATCGTTTTTTTAATCAGCTGCCATATACCTATCTGACACACGTTCTGAGGCGGCTCTCCCCCAAAAAGAGAGAGAAATAAAAGCCTAGAAAGTCAGGGGTCACACAGAAGGAGGAGAGAAGAGAGGAGCCCTTGGCCGCGCCGCGCCGGTTCAGAACCGCGGACAGCTCCCGCCTTTGTGTCGCTCGAAACTCCCGGGCCCGGTGCGGAGCAGGGCGACCACCGCTGCGTCCTCTGCCTACTCCCGCAAACCTGCTCGGACAGAAAAAGACAGGCGGCAGAGCAGAGCGGTAGAAGCTTTCCTGTCCTCTCCCTGCCTTCTCCGAACTTGGCCCTAACCCAGCCCACCTCGATGGGGGAGATGACTTGGTTTCACTTCGGACCTCTATTCAGTGTACAGGGTTTGGGGTGAGTGGGGGTGGGCAGGGACAGCAGCCTTGGCGAGCTCAGACTGGATTGGGAATTCGTTCCACTGTCCCTGCCTGAGGCTCCAGCCGCCCACGATCTATCCTTAGATGACTTCTCGCCTTTGACCAAACTAAACATAAAACACACACAAACAAAAACAACAACAACAAAGAAAAAAAGCAGCGATAGCAAATGCTTCCCTGGGACCAGGCTGGGACTGTGGACACACAAGGAGGTCCAGACCCAGAAGCTCAGGTCAGAGAAAGGAAAAACAAAACCCAGACTGAGAAGCCACAAAAGATGAGATTGCAACCAAGAACCCGCAAAAAAAAAAAACAAAAAAAAAACAAAAAGCGATGAAAGCTGTTACAATCTGAGCACACACAGTTTGCCAGTAGAAATACAGCAGCGCTTTTTCTCCCTTTGACCAGGAAAAGCATCTCGCTCTGAGTTCAACAGAATGCACTTACCTAGGCCTCTCAAAATAGTGTTTCTCTGGGTCCTTTCTCAGGATCCAGGATAAAAAAGGATTTCTTCTCACAGTCTGACAGAAACCTCACTTCTGGGGTGGGGTAGAAGATACCCCAAAGATACTCTCCAAATCCCGAATCCACATACATAAAAGCATCCTCTCTCTCCCTCCCTCTCTCCTCCACCCTCAGGGTCAGTAAAGTTATGCACTTCCTCCAAGCTCAAGAAAAGTAGGACAGCCAAGCCACGATTTCATTCTCACTCAATTTTTTCGTAAAGTGGAGCCCTCAGGCAGGGATAAACGGGTAAAGTAAGTTTAAGAATGAGCCTCCCCGAAAGGCGGTCCGTGTCCGGAGGAAAGAAAGAATCCCTCGCAGACTCCCTAAACTTGGGTGCCCCACTTGGGCACGGGGGACACAAGGAGATCACCACCAGCCAACCCAGAAGAGAGACCCAGAGTCACCGCGGATGGATTTGTGCTGGCCGGTAACCTAAGGAATCTCGCTCGCCAACCCCCGCCCCTCACTTTTCAAAACAACATTCTGCCCTCCCCTTCCTTCTCCCCAAGAAACCTGGGAGAAAGACTACACTTTCTGAAGACCAGCGCGGAGGTGTTTGGAGGACGCGCGATCCCTGCTGCGGTCCCCCAGGAGCTTTAAGGGGCACGCCGCAGGGTAAATGTACTCGCCTGGGAGGATGGAGCTGGGGTCACTTCCCAGGTCCCCTCCCCACTCCCGGGACCCTTGGGGGTGAGCACGGGGAGGGGGGTGGGGGGTCCACCCCCACCAAAGCCCGCGGTGGAGCTCTGCGTTCAGTCAGGCTGCTGTGTAAACCTCTGCTTTCCCATGCAGATTTCCCTTTTAACACCTTCTAAACAAAGGCTAATGAGGCCATTGCATTACTCTATCAACATACAATCATTAGCAACCGAGAAATACACACACACACACACACACACACACACACACACACACATGCGCGCACAGCGTGGGCTGCCAAAGTCAGGGGAATTCTAAAGAAGCCCATATTAGGCTAACAAAAAGGAGGTGGGATAGGAGGGGCAGGGAGAGGGGGGGGAGAGAAAGGAGGGGGAGGAGGAGGAGAAAGGGGAGAGGGGAGAGGAGCGGGGAGGAGGAGAGAGGGAGGGGCAGGCCATCAAAATCGGGAGGGGAAAACAAGCCCCACGGAAAAGAGGGGAAGCAAGATGAAGATTAAGCCAAAGCCTGAAGGTCCTGGGGAAAGTCTGGGGCCCCTTCTCCTGGGGGTTAGGGATCCCTGGCAAGCTGTGGGCTTCGGAGATGGAAGGGAGCTGCAGGCGTCTTTGAAACAGCGTCGGGCCCCAGGCCACTGTCCCTGCAGTCACACACACTCTGTGGGACCAAAGAGCCACCAGGGACCACAGCTGGCCTTGGACTCCTTGTGGAAGGGCCCGGCCAGCCTCCTTGCCTGAGCCCCTGGACAGGATGAGAAGGCCCACTGTGCTGGCTCAAACCCCAGGCAGCTCTGCCTGGCTTCACCTGAGGGGCTGCAGCCTGCTCAGCACCAGAAGGTGGCGAGGGGCGCATTCCTGGAGGGGGACTTGCAGGCTGGAATGAGGTGACCTCACTCCATGCCCTGGGCGATTGGCATCTGGCGGGTCGCACAAGCCAGATGCTTCAGAGCTAAATTTTAGGCTCAGCCTGTACCTTCCACCTGTCCCAGCCTGGAAATGTGGGGCCCAGACATGCTGACTCTGAGCGTGCCCCCCCTAACTGCTCTGTCCCGGAAACCCTCTTCAGGGTCGGCCGTCCAGATCCGGGAACGGAGTTGAGATCAAACTCAGAAACCCCCTCTGGCGTTGGAGGGAAAGTCTCGGAGTGGGGCTAAAGCAGGGACGGGGGACAGTGCGATTGTCCCCTCCTATCCCCAGCTGCCCATCCAAGGAAAGAAGAGGAAGAAAAGAGGGAAGGAGGGAAGAGACGGGGGAGAAGGGAGAGGAGGGCCGCGCTGCCTTTTTGATTAAACGTCCCGGGTCGGGCCTGCCCTGTTAACCAGACCGTTAATTAAGCCGTGCGCCGTGCAGCTGACAGGCGGGCGCTGCGCCCCGCTGAGACGCTCCGCAAACCGAGCGCTGCCGCGGTCTCTGAGCGGACACCAGAGCAGC